GGTATGGTGAGGTGTGGTGAGGTGTGGTGAGGTGTGGTGAGGTATGGTGAGGTGTGGTGAGGTATGGTGAGGTGTGGTGAGGTATGGTAAGGTATGGTGAGGTGTGGTGAGGTGTGGTGAGGTATGGTGAGGTGTGGTCAGGTGTGGTGAGGTATGATATAAGCCGGCCATGCCGGAACGTTGTAGATGTTCTCTATATTAACAAAATCGCAGCGCTTTTTTAGAGGTAACTGGCAAGTTGTTGTTTCGCGGCCCCGATCGTAGCGAATAAGATCGTTGCCGGTCTCGGTCCTAAATTTTATTTTGCATGTCACCATGTTAGGCGTTTCGGACGTAGCAGTCTCAGGCCACGCTGGACGTAGCAGCCCCAGGCCACGCTTGAGGCGCCGTCTCATTATTACTTCCCCCAGCTGGCAGTCCGTCCACACCGCCAAGCTCCCATTTTCTCCCACAATTTTCCTCCCCATAATGTCTCATTACCTCCCCCCATTAATACTACTTCTCTTCCCCCCCCAGCGCCCCTCCAGTTCCAGATCCAGTACCAGAAAGCAGTCATTGCATACCGCCAAGGTCCTATTCTCACACAATTTTACCCCCCATAATGTCATTCATTACCACCTCCCCCCACCCTGTGAAAATTTACAGACGCGGCAGCTTCTGATTTGGATTACCAGAGGCTGGGGCGACGCTAAATTTTGCTGGGGCATTAATTCTCCTCTTCCGCCCCCCAGCGCCCCCCCCCAGTTCCAGATCCAGTACCAGAAAGCAGTCATTCCGTTACGCCAAGGCCCTATTCTCATACAATTATACTCCCCATAATCCCAGTGAAAATTTACAGACGCGGAAGCTTCTGATTTGAAGTACCAGAAGCTGGGGCGACTCTAAATTTTGTTAGGGATGTCAATCGTTACCCCCTCCCCCTATTAATTCTCCCTCTCTTCCCGCCCCCCAGCGCCCCAGTTCCAGATCCAGTACCAGAAAGCAGTCATTCCATACCTCCAAGGTCCTATTCTCCCACAATTGTACCCCTCATAATGTCACTCAATATCCTCTTCCCCTATTAATTCTCCCTCTCCTCCGCCCCCCCCAGCGCCCCCCAAGTTCCAGATCCAGTACCGCAACCAGACCGCCCTGCATGGCGCGGACGCTGTCCTAGAGTGCGAGGCGGAGGGCGAGACTCCCATCGGCATCGTCTGGAAGAAGGACGGCCAGAACGTCGAGCCCGACCTCGAGACCCGGTACGTGGGGCCCAGTCTCGGGACCCGGTACGTGGGCCTGACCTCGAGACCCGGTACGTGGAAATGTTGAAGTTGTTCTCTATATTAACAATATTGCAGCGCTTTTTTAGAGGCAGCCGGTAAGTTATTGTTTCACGGCTCCGATCGTAGCGAATAAGATCGGCGCCGGTCTAGTTCCTAAGTTTAATTTTGTATGTCACCATGTTAGGCGTTTCGGACGTAGCAGTCCCAGGCCACGCTTGAGCGCCGTCTCAGTATTACTCCCCACGCGTGCAGTCCGTCCACACCGCCAAGCTCTCATTTTCTCCCACAATTTTCCTCCCCATTATGTCACTCATCACCTCCCTCCCCCCATTAATCCTCCCTCTCTTCCCTCCTCCCCCCTGCAGCGCCCCCCCAGTTCCAGATGCAGTACCAGAAAGCAGTCATTCCACACCACCAAGCTCCTATTCTCACACAATTATACTCCCCATTATCCCAGTGAAAATTTACAGACGCGTTAGCTTCTGATTTGGATTACCAGAAGCTGGGGCGACTCTAAATTCAGCTTCTGATTTGGATTACCAGAAGCTGGGGCGACTCTAAATTCAGCTTCTGATTTGGATTACCAGAAGCTGGGGCGACTCTAAATTTCGTTAGGGGTGTCAATCGTTACCCCCTCCCCCCATTAATTCTCCCTCTCTTCCGCCCCCTCCCCAGTTCCAGATCCAGTACCAGAAAGCAGTCATTCCTTACCTCCAAGGTCCTATTCTCCCGCAATTATACCTCCCATAATGTCATTCATTACCCCCTCCCCCCACCCAGTGAAAATTTACAGACGCGGCAGCTTCTGATTTGGATTACCATAAGCTGGGGCGACTCTAAACCAGAAGCTGGGGCGACTCTAAACCAGAAGCTGCGGCGACTCTAAACCAGAAGCTGGGGCGACTCTAAACCAGAAGCTGGGGCGACTCTAAACCAGAAGCTGGGGCGACTCTAAACCAGAAGCTGGGGCGACTCTAAATTTTGTTAGGGATGTCAATCGTTCCCCCCCTGTCTCTTATACACATCTAGATGTGTATAAGAGACAGGAGGTATGGTGAGGTATGGTGAGGTGTGNACCCTCACTTTACTCCCACTTTACCCTCACTTTACTCCCACTTTACCCTCACTTTACTCCCACTTTACCTTCACTTTACTCCCACTTTACCCTCACTTTACTCCCACTTTACCCTCACTTTACTCCCACTTTACCCTCACTTTACTCCCACTTTACCTTCACTTTACTCCCACTTTACCCTCACTTTACTCCCACTTTACCCTCACTTTACTCCCACTTTACCCTCACTTTACTCCCACTTTACCTTCACTTTACTCCCACTTTACCCTCACTTTACCCCCACTTTACCCTCACTTTACCTTCACTATACCCTCACTTTACCCTCACTATACCCTCACTTTACCCTCACTTTACCCTCACTTTACCCTCACTATACCCTCACTTTACCCTCACTTTACCCTCACTTTGCCCTCACTTTACCCTCACTTTACCCTCACTTTACCCTCACCAGGTACACCATCAGGGACGAGGCCCGCAGTTCTGGGGTCCACTCTTCCCTCAGCATCAAGAAGACCGACCGGCCGGACTCGGCCTCCTTCACCTGCATCGCCACCAACCCCTTCGGCAGCGCCGACACCAACATCAACCTCATCGTCCAGGGTTAGGGCCTACATCGTTCACTATATTGCATATAGCACACTATATTACTTATCAACCTATATCATTCAGTATATGACCATATAACCTTGTATGTATCACCATATATCATTATTATATACCATTTATTTAGCCGACACCAACATCAACCTCATCGTCCAGGGTTAGGGCCTACATCGTTCACTATATTGCATATATCACACTATATCACATATCAACCTATATCAGTCACTATATAACATAGAATGTATATCGCCATGCATCATTATCATTTATTATTTATTTAGCAGACACCAAAATCAACTTAATCGTAGTGATGCTGGCCTACATCGTTCACTATATATTATATATCAACCTATATCATTCACTATGCAATCTAGTATATATTCCATTTTTTCACCATATAATCATCACTGTCCAGAGATCCCGGAGCAGCCCTCGGGCCTCAAGGTGCTGGACAAGACGGGCCGGTCTGTCGAGCTGTCCTGGACCCCGCCCTATGATGGCAACTCCCCCATCACCCGCTACATCGTCGAGTACAAGCAGAGCAAGCGTGAGTGATGTGGGTGATGTAGGTGATGTAGGTATGGTGATGTAGGAGCCCATTATCACAACATCACCATCATTATACACTATCGCTCCCACCCTAACCACCCCTCCCCCCCTCTCCCCCCAGAGAACTGGGAGGACCAGAGCGAGCGCCTGATGGTGTGTCCCACCTCACTTTACCCTCACTTTACCCTCAATGTACCCTCACTTTACCTTTACTTTACCCTCACTGTACCCTCACTTTACCCTCACTTTACCCTCACTTCAATTCACTGTACCCTCATTTTACCCTCTTTTTACCCTCACTTTACCCTCACTTTGCTCACACTTTACCTTCACTTTATTCTCACTTTACCTTCACTGTACTCTCACTCTACCCTCTCTTTACCCTCTCTTTACCCTCTTTTTACCCTCTCTTTACCCTCTCTTTACCCTCACTCTATCCTCACTTTACCCTCACTTTACCCTCAACGTACCCTCATTTACCCTCACTTTACCCTCTCTGGACCCTCACTTTACCCTCACTTTACCCTCACTATACCCTCACTTTACTCTCACTTTACCTCTTTTTACCCTCACTTTACCCTCACATTTCTCTCACTTTACCCTCACTTTACCTTCATTTTACCCTCGCTATACCCTCACTAAACCCTCACTTTACCCTTACTTTGCCCTCTCTTTACCCTCACTTTACCCTCGATATACCCTCATTTTACCCTCACTTTACCATCACTTTGCCCTCTTTATGTCCTCACTGTATCCTCACTTTACCCTCACTTTACCATCGCTATACCCTCACTAGACCCTCACTTTACCCTCACTGTACCCTCACTTTACTCTCAATTTACCTCTTTTTACCCTCACTTTACCCTCGCTATACCCTAACTAAACACTCACTTTACCCTCACTTTACCCTCACTTTACCCTCGCTATATCCTCACTTTACCCTCACTTTACCATCACTTTACCCTCTTTATATCCTCTTTGTACCCTCACTTAACCCTCACTTTACCCTCACTGTACCTTTACTTTACCCTCACTGTACCCTCACTCTACCCTCACTGTACCCTAACTTTACCCTCACTGTACCCTCACTCTACCCTCACTGTACCCTCACTGTGCCCTCACTGTTCCCTCATTGTACCTTCACTGTACCCTCACTTTACCCTCACTGTACCCTCACTATACCCTCACTTTACCCTCACTTTACCCTCACTGTACCCACACTGTACCCTCACTTTACTCTCACTTCACCCTCACTTTACCCACACTTTACCCTCAATGTACCCTCACTCTACCCTCACTGTAACGTCACTTTACCCTCATTATTCCCTCACGTTACCCTCACTATACACTCACTTTACCTCGCTTTATCCTCACTACCCTTACTTTACCCTCACTTTACCCTCACTGCACCCTCACTTTACCCTCACTGCACCCTCACTTTACCCTCACTGCACCCTCACTTTACCCTCACTGCACTCTCACTTTACCCTCACTATACCCTCACTTTACCCTCATTTTACCCTCACTGTCCCTCACTTTACCCTCACTTTAGTCCACTTTACCCCCACTTTACCCTCACTTTACCCCACTTCACCCTCATTTTACCCTCACTGCACCCTCACTTTACCCTCACTGCACCCTCACTGTACCCTCACTATACCCTCACTGTACCCTCACTTTACCCTCACTGTACCCTCATTTTACCCTCACTTTACCCTCACTTTACCCTCACTTTACCCTCACTTTACTCTCACTTTACCCCCACTTTACCCTCACTTTACCCTCTTTTTACCCTCACTTTACCCTTACTGTACCCTCGCTATACCCTCACTTTACCCTCACTGTACCCTCACTTTATCCCCACTTTATCCTCATTTTACCCTCACTCTACCCTCACTTTACCCTCACTTTACCCTCACTTTACCCTCACTGTACTCTCACTTTACCCTCACGTTACCCTCACGTTACCCTCACGTTACCCTCACTTTACCCTCACTGTACCCTCACTTTACCCTCACTTTACCCTCATTTTACCCTCACTTTTCCCTCACCAGGTACACCATCAGGGACGAGGCCCGCAGTTCTGGGGTCCACTCTTCCCTCAGCATCAAGAAGACCGACCGGCCGGACTCGGCCTCGTTCACCTGCATCGCCACCAACCCCTTCGGCAGCGCCGACACCAACATCAACCTCATAGTTCAGGGTTAGTGCCTACATCGTTCACTATATTGCATATTAACCTATATCATTTATTTAACCTATATCACATTTATATCATAGCGTACTATATATCATTAGCCGACACCAACATCAACCTCATCGTCCAGGGTTAGTGCCTACATCGTTCACTATATTGCATATATCATTCACTATATAACGTAGTAAATATCACCATATATCATCATTATTATTATGATTATTCACTTTTTCATTCACAATATAACATAGTATATATCACCATATACGATAATCACTATCATTATTTATCATTATCCATAGAAATGTTTGCCTACATCGTTCACTATATGACATGTTAACCTATATCATTCACTATATATAGATGTATAGTATATCATTCACTATATAACGTAGTATATATCACCATATAATCACGATCATTTAACATCGACACCAACATCTACCTCATCGTTTAGGGTTCGTGATGTTGGCCTAGATCGTTCACTATATTAGATATTAACCTATATCATTTTCTATTTTATAGTATATAGTATAATATTTCATTCACTATATAGGTGGATGCAGGTGTGGGGGGAGGCAGTAGCAGCTGTACGGTGGATGCAGGTGTGGGGGAGGCAGTAGCAGCTGTACGGTGGATGCAGGTGTGGGACTCCTGTCAACTCTGGCAACCGCGTTACTGCCTCCTGTCAACTCTGGCAACCGCGGTACTGCCTCCTGTCAACTCTGGCAACCGCGTTACTGTTTCCTGTCAACTCTGGCAACCGCGTTACTGTTTCCTGTCAACTCTGGCAACCGCGTTACTGCCTCCTGTCAATTCTGGCAACCGCGTTACTAGCTCCTGTCAACTCTGGCAACCACGTTACTGTTTCCTGTCAACTCTGGCAAGCGCGTTACTGCCTCCTGTCATATCTGGCAACCGCGTTACTGCCTCCTGTCAACTCTAGCAACTGCGCTACTGCTTTCTGTCAACTCTGTCAACCGCGTTACTGCCTCCTGTCAACTCTGGCAACCGCGTTACTGCCCTCTGTCAACTCCGGCAACCACGTTACTGCCCTCTGTCAACTATGGCAACCGTGTTACTGCCTCCTGTCAACACCGGCAACCGTGTTACTGCCTCCTGTCAACTCTGGCAACCGCGTGACTGCCTCCTGTCAACTCTGGCAACCAGGAGGCAGTAGCAGCTGTACGGTGGATGCAGGTGTGGGGGGAGGCAGTAGCAGCTGTACGGTGGATGCAGGTGTGGGGGAGGCAGTAGCAGCTGTTCATTAAATACAGATGTTTGTCCACCGTCTGACCATCTCCCGTGTCCACCAGAGCTGGAGGCGTCCATCGATGGCCTGCGGGAGACACAGCGCAAGTATGTCCACCTGCTGCGGCTGTCCCGTGCCCTGGCCTCCCACTTCTACCACGTGGTCAGCACGCAGCACCAGCTCGCTGACGCCTTCGCTGACCTCGCCCAGGTGATTATCACCTTCTTGGCCTGATGATTATCACCTGGTGATTATCACCACTTTCGGTGTCTCGTAGTGTCGAGTCTTTCGGTGTCTTTTTGAGTGATTTTTCCATTTTATTTTTTACTTTTTGAGTGAGTTTTCTATGATATTTGTCTTGTCAGATAAGTTTCTATGATTTTTAAGGCCTTTTTAAGTTTTTTAAGGTCTTTCTTTTTTAAGGTCTTGCATGTGTTACAGATAAAGGCATTACGTTGAACTTAGGATTGTTGTGTAGTGAGTATAAAAAGATAAGATCCCACTAACATATGGGAACTGGAGGTGAGTATAATATTTAATTATAATGCTTAACAACCACTTATATTCACTGCTTATAACCTTCATTATTCATTAGTTCTCATTGGAGACCAGAGCTGCAGGAGTTCCTATAAACATTAATCACCACTAATCACCATCATTCGCCACTTTTAAACATTAATCATCATCAATCATCCCTAGAAGAGCTTTGAGCTGCAGGATCAGTTCTTATAAAAATTGATCACCATTCATCACCCCTAATCACCCCTAATCACCACAGAAGAGCCCGGAGCTGCAGGAGGAGTTCGTCTACAACGCGGAGACGCTGCGCACGCTCAGCAAGAACGGAGAGACGCTGCTGTCCGCCCTCAACTTCTTCGTGTCATCCGTGGCCACGCTCTGCCACAATACCATGGAGGACACCATGGCCACCATCAAGCTGTACGAGCAGGCCAGGTATGTGTCCATCATGGCCACAAGACCATGGAGGACACCATGGCCACCATCAAGCTCTACGAGCACGCCAGGTATGTGTCCATCATGGCCACAAGACCATGGAGGACACCATGGCCACCATCAAGCTTTTCTGATGGACATAATATTTAGCTTTATTACCTACTAAATCCTAATTTAACACTGAGTACAGCGTGTGTACTAGCGTATTTAAGTATACTTATGCCAGTGTATTAATATGGACACATGTGTTATTAAGTGTATTAATGTGTATTAATCTGTATACGTACAGGTGTTGTTATCAAATGTATTAACATGTACAAATGTGTTATTATGTGTATTAATATGTATACATTTGTTATTAAGTATTAATCTGTATACATGTGTTATTAAGTATTAATCTGTATACATGTGTTATTAAGTATTAATATGTATACATGTGTTATTACATGTATTAACATGTAAACATGTCTTTTAAAGTGTATTAATTTGTATATTTGTATTATTAAGTGTATTAATTTGTAAATTTTGTGTTATTAAGTGTATTAATATGTATACATGTGTTATTTTAGTGTATTAATTTGTATACTTTGTGTACAGGATTGAGTACGACGCATACCGGACAGACCTGGAGGCGCTGTCATCCACACCCCGCACACAGGTGTGTAGTGTCATCCACACACCCCGCACACAGGTGTGTAGTGTCATCCACACACCCCGCACACAGGTGTGTAGTGTCATCCACACCCCGCGCACACAGGTGTGTAGTGTCATCCACACCCCGCACACAGGTGTGTAGTGTCATCCACACACCCCGCACACAGGTGTGTAGTGTCATCCACACACCCCGCACACAGGTGTGTCTGTCTCTTATACACATCTAGATGTGTATAAGAGACAGGAACAAGGTGTGTTAACTGCGGGAACAAGGCGAGTCTCATTAACTTAATGAGAACAAGGCGTGTTAACTGCGAGAACAAGGCGAGTCTATCTCATTAACTTGATGAGAACGAGGCGAGTGTCTCATTAACTTAATGAGAACAAAGCGTGTTAACTGTGAGAACAAGGCGAGTCTATCTTATTAACTTAATGAGAACAAAGCGTGTTAACTGCGAGAACAAGGCGAGTCTATCTCATTAACTTAATGAGAACAAGGCGTGTTATTTGCGAGAACAAGGCGAGTCTATCTCATTAACTTAATGAGAACAAGTCGTGTTAACTGCGAGAACAAGGCGAGTCTATCTCATTAACTTAATTAGAACAAGGCGTGTTAACTGCGAGAACAAGGCGAGTCTATCTCAATAACTTAATGAGAACAAGGTATATTAACTGCCAGAACAAGGCGAGTCTCATTAACTGCTTAATGAGAACAAGGCGTGTTAACTGCGAGAACAAGGCGAGTCTCATTAACTGCTTAATACTACCATGCATGTTTGAAAGGCGACCGTACGGTACACCTGGGCCTAAAGGGTGAGTGATGAGCGACGTGGGGGTCAAGCTGGCCTTCCTTAATGAGAACAAGGCGAGTCTCGTTAACTTAATGAGAACAAGGCGTGTTAACTGCGAGAACAAGGCGAGTCTCATTAACTGCTTAATGAGAACAAGGCGTGTTAACTGCGAGAACAAGGCGAGTCTCTCATTAACACAATGAGAACAAGGCGTGTTAAATGCAAGAACAAGGCGAGTCTCAATAACTGATCAGCTGAGATTAATATGGATTAGACATTGATTAATGCAGATTCGACGTAGATCAATGATGAATCGGCATCGATTAATGCAGATTCGACGTAGATCAATGAAGAATCGGCATCGATTAATGTAGATTCGACGTAGATAAATGAATAATCGACATCGATTAATGTAGATTCGTCGTAGATCAATGAAGAATCGACATCGATTAATGTATATTCGACGTAGATCTATGAAGAATCGACATCGATTAATGTAGATTCGACGTAGATGAATGAATAATCGACATCGATTAATGTAGATTCGACGTAGATCAATGAAGAATCGACATCGATTAATGCAGATTCGACTTCAGCTAGTGTAGATACGACATCGTTCGATGCAGATTATTCGCCTCACCATCACCCTGCTCCTGCAGGTGAAGGTGATGCACAAGCAGCTTCTGCTGTTCCACAACGCCATCAGCGCTTACTTCACCGGCAACGAAGCGCAGCTCGAGGCGACACTCAAACAATTTAATGTCGAGTTGACCAGGGGTGCCAACGCTACACCTCCCAGCTGGCTGGAACAGTGAGTAACCCCATTGCATCCCATCCCCCCAGCCTGTACATAGACGTGGGTCAACTTGACACACTTTTAGCACTCCAAGCCTGTACAAGGACGTGGGTCAACTTGACACACTTTTAGCACCCTGTTCTTGTCTTGCAGTTGATTTCATATTTTTATTTTTTATATATTTATTATTATTTATATCTATTTTTTTTAATAATTATCCCGTTATTTTTGTACAATTTCATATATTCATATTTTAAATACCGGTACCTATTTATTATTTTTATATATTCAATATTTATTATATTTATTACTTTTATATATATATTTTTTCAATAATTATCCCGTTATTTTTGTATAAAGTATTTTTTGTTATTCTTTGCTTTTAATTTTAAATTTTTTTGCGCTGGCCGGACCGGTCTGTCTGGCAACTCTGTCACCATTTCATTATTTCATTTGTTTTGTTTCCGGTTTCCGGCCGCAGGTCTCTGACAGAAACTCTGCAAGAAAATTTCCGAAGCATTTTTGCCAACGTCAACACCAGCGTCTAGCTCCTGTCAACTCTGGCAACCGCGTTACTGCCTCCTGTCAACTCTGGCAACCGCGTTCCTGCCTCCTGTCAACTCTGGCAACCGCGTTACTGCCTCCTGTCAACTCTGGCAACCGCGTTACTGCCTCCTGTCATCTCTGGCAACCGCGTTACTGCCTCCTGTCAACTCTGGCAACCGCGTTCCTGCCTCCTGTCAACTCTGGCAACCGCGTTCCTGCCTCCTGTCAAATTTAGTCATTCCTCATCAATGTTACGCTTAATTAATTAATTAAATTAATTAATTTAATTAATTAGTCTATTTGCTTAGCATTTACGCAGTACATTAAGCGACATGTGCTTTGACTCATGCTTTCTGTTCAATTACTTAATTTTAATAATTAATAACTCAAAATAAGTAATTAATTACCTCAAATAACTAATTAATTACTTATATAAGTAATAAATTACTCAGAAAAGGTAATTGATTACTTAAAATTCGTAATTAATTACCTAAAATAAATAATTAATTACTTTAAATAGTAATTAATAACTTCATATAAGTAATTAATTACTTAACATTGGTAAATTATTACCGAAAATAAGTAATAAATTACTTAAATAATAAATATCACTTAAAGAAATGAATGAAATTTTGTCCTAAAGAGCGACGCACTATTTTGAACTCGAGTGCGTCATTTTGACCCCCTTAGGCCCGGCAACAAGCCGTATCAGTGCTACGCCCAACAACAGGCGGTTGTGCTCGCGTATATAAAAAATTTATTCTCGCTTCTTATTATTAATTATTTTACTTTATATTAGCGATCAATGGCATTATATTTCATGTTAATTTCTACCTGACAGTCAACCAGCATTCAACCCAGGTTAAAATTTACCGGTTTTTTAAAGTTAAAAAAAAATGTGTCGTGAACGCGCCAAAAATTTGTTTCGTGAACGCAAAAAAATGCATTTCGTGAATGTGAAAAAAAAGTGTTTCGTGAACACGAAAAAAAAATCTTTTCGTGAACGCGAAAAATGTTTCTTGAACGCAACGCGTGTGCATGGGAGTTGCCAACTGTCAATTATTTTTACTTGCGTTGCCAAGTATAAATTTAAAGAATATATGTATATTTCTGTTTGACTTGTATATATGTCTGCGTTTTTCACTGTGTGGCCGGCCATTGTGTTTCTCACTGCATCAAAGTTCCTGTGTTCTCTGTGTGAAATTCACACAGATGTGTAGTATTTATTAATTATTTATTAAGCATTTATTTTTGTTATTTTCATCCAATTTTTGTTATCTTCGGTAAATTGTTTTTCTGTTGAATACTTTTGCGTATTTTGATCTGTTATCATTGTGTTATCTATCAGTCCAGTTAGCATTGTTATCTATCAGTCCACTTATCATTAAGTTATCTATCAGTTCAGTTTTATTTGTTATCATTTATCGGTAGACTTTAATTTCGTTCTTTTGTTTTCATTATGAAGTAAATTTATTTCATGTTTTATTTAAATTATTGCATTAAACGCTTAGTTTCTTCCACGCTTCTTATTTTCCTTTTTTTTGTGGCTATACAATCTTGTGTTCACGGAGGTACACAGGTTTATTGTATTAATACAGAATAATACAGGGCGATTCACGGAAACTTCCTTTTTGTATTTCGCGCCAAGCGGTCAAATGTTGTAGGAAAAGGATTGGGAGTATTTAATATAATAATAATTATAATAGCGGTTTCAGCGTTCACTAGGCCGTAGGCCTGTCGCCGATTCTCAAGGGGACCGACTACCCTCCGGAAAAACTTCTACAGTTATTATCCGATCATCATGAAACTTCACATACTTACGTAAAATGTAAAAATAAGAACATCTTGCTCCTATGAATTTTTCGAAAAAATTTATAGAAAACGTGAAATTCATAGAAAACGGCTAAAAAGGGGTACTTCAGAAAATCTATCTCCTCCTACAAATATCATCCTACAACATCGAGACACGTATCATTCGGTTCGTAAGGACCATACCTATAGATTTGATGAGCATTTTTCTCATTTTCCCCTTAGTTTTTTTTATGTGCGTTTTATCCCATTTTTCTAATTTTTTTTTCATTTTTCCCCCCTCCCCCCCCCCTTCTCTCCCATATAAAAAACGAACCAGACAGAAATTCAAAAAATGCTCATCAGTTCGATAGGGATGGTCCTTGCGAGTCGAATGGTATTTGTCTCATTGCTGTAGCTTTAAACTGTAGGAGGAGATAGGTTTGCCGTGCGACCAATCGGAGGTTTTCAGGACGCCCAAAAAACTGCCGGGCGGCACGTAAAATGACGTAAAAGAGTCGTAACGTAGCCAACATACCGCAACCAAGCCTTAAAACTAAGTGAGGAAGGCATAGAGCGAGTGGCTGCAAACCTTTCACCTCGCTGTCATGATGGGCACTGAAAGACCTGGCTGCATCTGGCAGTATATCAAGTCACGCCCCGTAATTAATGCCTTAGGAATTTGTTAAGGCCGCCCCCCACCGCCCCCCGTTCCATGGGGCGTGGTGAACGTAAAAATGAAGGTAGAAAGATGATTCTGCCACCAATGGAATCGTCAGAAAGTAAGCTTTAAGATGAGTATGAGCACAGATGATTCTGCCACCAATGGAATCGTCAGAAAGTAAGCTTTAAGATGAGTATGAGCACCGGATAATGCCATGATTGGCCGCTTTACGCCAGACGTTCCTTTTTAGTGTGTCCACCCTTCTAATTAATCCCATAGGCTTTACTGAAGGGCTCTAAAAACTCCCTCCCTTCGGGAGGCTGTTACGAAATCATTTTTCGACGTAGAGGGATGATTCTGGTACGGTTGGATGCGTCAAAAAGTAAGCTTTAAGATGAGCACAAAAACCGGAAAACACCATAATTGAAAATTTTAGGGTAGTGGTTCCCCTTAACATCGCAGAACATTCACAGCATTTTGCAGTCTCGAACTCGCAACTAACGTCTCACTGCTACAATTCTGCTGCTTAACCGCCCGGCCTCCTCGCCGATTCTGACCAGAAACTGGCGCACAGAGCTGGGATCGAACCCGCAACTCACTGCGCCAATCTTGGTACTCTGAACTGTAACCACTGGGCCACCCTGCCCAGTGAATGATATGGATGAATGAATGATATATGAAAAGCAAGAACATGAAGTTTTGTGTCCCGCCGTCAGTTGCCAATATGCGTTGGACAAGTGAGGCGCGTGCGTTTGCTGTCGAGGTGTACTTTTCTAATGGCCGTTCCATTATCGCTACTCAACGAGCATTCCGTATTTGTCCTGCAGGTCGGGTTCCTGATCGGAAATAGATTGTCACTTCAATGAATACATTTATGGCAAAATAAATGTTTTTTTTCATGGTGTTACCTTAAATAAATTGTTTACAATGACTGTCCAAGGCCCCAACCTCAATTGAAGAACAAGCCATTTTTCATGTCATTACAACACTTCTCTTTAACTTCACTTCTTGTTTGTCTGTCTGTCTGTCTGCTACAAATCTTGTAATCAAAATTTAATACACTTCTACTTATCCTATCGACCTGAAATTTTGCCCACTTGTGTAAAGTTGGAGACAACGCATGAATCAAATGAATGTCAAAATAAATGATTTTTGAAATTAAAAAAAAAAATTTTCAATATTAAAAAACTTAAAAAAATAATTTTGTCAGCTACAAATCTTATTGATATTTGACACACTTTTACCTGTCTAATTGATCTGAAATTTTGGACACTGGTGTGAAATCAGAGGCAATGCATGAATCAATTAACAGAATAAATAATTATGAAAAAAATTATATATTAAAAAAAATTTATATATATTTAAAAAATTGAAAAGGTAATTTTTTTAATTTTCGAAAATTAGTTGAGAAATTGATTGTACATCTGTAAGATTGGAGATACTGGATTCTTAGGAAGTGTTGTCTTTAAAAAGTAGTTTTTAAATGTATATTATTTTTAAGATTAAGTGATACAAAATTTCACGTGATGTCTTTTTCAATAAAATTAATAGTGTAATCATATTTTTAATAGTTATTTTTTTTATTAAGCTTTCGAATCAGGAAGTTTCCGTGAATCTCCCTGTATACAGAGGTACACAGGTTAATTGTATTAATACAGCCTCCTGTGTGCAGGGCCAGCCTCTCTTAGCCACACCGTCATGATGTAAGTCACTTTGTGTAGTTTGTGTTGTATTTGTGCAGTTAGTCTTAGTAATGTGTAGTTATGCTATTTTGTATACAGTAGTAGTTGATGGCATTATTTTTTAGTAAGTTTTATCTGTTTAGCTTGTATTTTTCCAATTATTTTAACTTTGTGTAGATAGTTTTTTGTAGTTTGAGTTACAATTGTTTAGCTTGTATTATTGTCATTATTTTTTGTTACCTTTGTGTACGTTTTTTATTCTCGTATAGCCAGAACTATTATTGTATAATTTGTGTGATATTCTCTACCTCCTGTATGCTCCGTGTAGCTGTGTGTTGTATCATGATGTATGCTTGTGTAAAACACATCTTATGTATGTGCTGTATTGTATTGATTTTTTCCATCTGAATTAATTGTGTTAACATATTGTATAGGATCAGTAAGATACCAAATATTTTATTTTTTGTTTTATATTGACTTTGTCCTTTTGTTCATCTGTATTTATTGTGTTAACATGTTGTATAGAATCAGTAAGATACCGAGTAAGCGAGCTCTTGTGTAGATTGTGTGAATTTTGTTCTCTGTATGTAAGAGGCGTACCATATACAACTTGTGTGTGAATTACATATAATGTTTAGATTGTTTTGTCTGTATGGATTGTATTTTGCAGGGGTACCTACTGACTGCGCCCCCAGGAGGGAGGAATGGGGGTCAACAACATCAGCAACACTAACAGCATCAACAATAACAGTGATATCAACAAAAGCACAGACGATATCAAAAGAGTGGACGTGAAGAGATTGTCTGCAAAAAATTGGTCCATTATATAGCATTCCAGAGCCCTGGGGCGGCCCTTGGGCTACCCTTG